ACATACCAAGAAACTGTGCATAAGTTCAACTCAGCAGCGGATGCCCAGAGCTTCATAAGAAAGATCCAGGACGTTGCTGATCGACCAAGATAGACGGGTAGCAGACTACACAAGTACAGTATCGGCTGTAAAAGACTCACAAATACACTTTTTTAAGCTTTAGGTGCCCTTTTGGTTAATTTGCATATTCTTTAAACACAAATGCAAATTTGAGTTCGTATATCAGAGAATTATTTGAATAAATATATTATAATTATTAAAAAAATCCTCACAATAACACTTTCATAATTGCAGCAGGGTGGGGCTGGATCCAAATATTTCATTTTACTCTCATGGTAACAGATCTGAGTGATCTGAACGTGACTGCGGTTGGAAGCAGGGTTTTTCATGGGGTTGCCCACTTACCTGGGTTGAGGGATAGGGTTTTGTGTGTAGTTCATGGTTTTTTGTTATTGCTTTTTCACCCCCCAGACAAGTTAAGTTGTATTTTCTTCACTGTGATTAAATGACACAAACAGTTGAAATTAAATGTACTTCCTGGAATTGTAGAGGCTTGAATAAGATAAAAAAAATCAAACAGGTCATGAACAGATTGAAAGATATTGGCTCTAAAATCGTATTTTTGCAGGAAACCCATGCCTTAGAGGAAGACAATCTCAAAATAAATAGAAGGTGGCCAGGGGCTTTATATGCAGCCTCTTTTACTTCAAGAGCACGAGGGGTAATCACTTTAATACATAAATCTGTGCCCATTTCAGTCTCAAACGTCATTAAAGATAAATATGGCAGATTTCTCATAATTCAAGGATCTATTTTACAGGAAACAATTAATTTGATAAATGTATATGGACCAAATAATGACGATGATGCATTTTTCACAAACCTTTTTCTAATCATTTCATCTCTTCCAGGAAAAATCATTATTGGAGGAGACTGGAACTGCGTTCTAAACCCCTTTAAAGATCGATCGACTAGATCTGACCAGACTCACCAAAAAGCAGGGAGGTAATTTGCAACTTCTTAAAAGAATTAAACTTAATCGATATTTGGCGTCACCTAAAACCAAGTGATATAACCTATTCGTGTCACTCCAAAACTTTTAATACATACTCCCGTATAGACTACTTTATAATATCCGCAGATCTATTGGCAAACATAACAGACTGCCAGTATGATAGTATAACTATTTCAGACCATGCTCCGGTTAATATCTTATATTCTCAAAAGAATCTAAAGGTGGACCCTCCAAGATGGTGTCTACATTTAAAATGGCTTAAAGATGATGATTTTTTAAACTATGTAGAAAATAAAATGGATGAATACTTCAGCATAAATACGACTCAAACTTCAGCATGTATTAGATGGGATGCCTTTAAGGCTTTTATAAGAGGGCATATGATTTCCTTTACTGCCTCTAAATCCAAAAAACTTCGTAATAAAAGAATACAATTAGAAGAGAAAATAAAACAACTTGAGAGACAAGTCTTTACAGGCACTGGTAATATTCTATTGGCAGAAAAAGAATTGATACATGTCAGAGCAGAGTATAATAAGGAATCAGCAAACCGGGCAGCGTCTAACATTATTCGATTGAATCAATCTTTTTATGAACAAGGTGAAAAACCAGGCAGGATACTAGCATGGCAAATTAAACAACTTGAGACTCAAAAAAGCATAACTAAAATTATAACTAATAACGGGGAGACAATAGTTGACCCAATACAAATAAACGTGGAATTCAAAAACTATTATGAAAAACTGTATGACGCTCTAGATTGTGATAATATGCAACAGAAGGCCTTTTTAGACAAGCTAACTATTCCCACAATTTCAGATCATTTTAAACAACAACTAGAAACTGAAATTAATGAGGAAGAAATAAAAAAAGTCATGGACAGAATGTCTATGGGTAAAAAATCTGGACCAGATGGGCTTCCCATTGATTTTGATAAAAAATTTCAAAGCAAGATAATAAAGCCGATGTTAGACATGTTTTTAGAATCATTTAGGATAGGAAGCCTTCCTGACACGATGACAAAAGCATCAATTATTCTCTTACCCAAACCTGGAAAACCTAATGACAAATGTGAAAATATGCGACCTATAAGTTTGCTCAACTCTGATTTAAAGATACTCAGTAAATTATTGGCTTTGCGTTTACAAGAATTATTACCAACAGTCATTCATAGAGACCAAAATGGTTTTATTTTAGGCCGACAAGGTCTTCACAATGTCCGCAGGGTCCTTAATATTATCCATGGATTGAAAGAAACCACGGATCAAGCTCTTCTTTCATTAGACGCAGAAAAAGCGTTTGATAAAGTTGAATGGTCTTACCTCTTTGAGGTTTTAAAACGATTTGGTTTTGGGGATATATTCTGCAATTGGATTCATTTACTTTACTCAAATCCCACGGCAGAGATTTTGACAAACAGAAACGTGTCTTCACCAATTAAAATAAAGCGCGGCTGTCGCCTTTGTTGTTCACCCTGGCCCTAGA